TGTAAGTGATAGGCTGGGAGTTTTTGTTTCGACTCCGGCTCGAGAGATGTAATACGGTTAATTATGTTTATGTACTTAATAATGTTTTGAATACTTCAATTGCTTCAGTTGCAAATTGTATTAATGGGGTGAGCTCGCTCGGAAAACAATCAATCAGGCAAAAGGTGTACAGGGAAAGAACGAATGGCGGATTCTACGCACTGGGGATTTCAGATTTTTCGTCGGCTTTTCACTTTATTCGTGTTACGTATACAGTCACTCAATTTGACAAATTCACCTTTTGTCAGTTATTTATTACCGTTACCTACCCAGTAATACCGTTCGTAGTGAAAAATAGACCTCGGATTTTAAAAGGTAAGGAGTTTTTAACGATGCAAAATTCGCATAATGTAATTTTTTTTTCAATACTTCATCGATCATTTATTTCTTATTGAATTTTCCTCTCTTTATGAATTACTAGTAAACTTCAAAATTTAATCAATCGCCGGCTACTTAGCGGAGAGTTAAGCCCCTATAACCAATTATCTCTCCGTGTTCGACTTTCGCCTCTTTTCCTATTTAAGCTTTCCTAAATAGCCCGGAAAATTCAGCGCACGTGTTTCGGTCCGTCGAGCCTTTTTAACAATTTTTCTTGTAGCAGGAGGTATATTCATTTCCCCCTGCGAACGAATCCAATTCGAAAAATAAGATATTCATTTAGACAAGACAAAAAGAAATTCGGAGAACCGTCTTATTCATTGTAGTATCGCGAGCGCTCTTTGACTTTCCGTTTGAGCCCGTTAGAACCGAAACTCTTATCACTGCCATTGGCGTACAAGGGGGGACATGGGTATCTTACGTGCTGCTTTAACAGGTTCTTTTATCAGAAGATTTGTGCCGGGAGAATTTTTTGCATTGTAAAGTCGAGAAGAATTAAAGATGATATTTAAAAGGTATAAATAATTAGTATTGAAATTACATCGTAAAGTATATAATAGATTTTTTGCTGAAAAATTACCTATCTCTTTGTATGTATAATCAAAAATGGTGGAGTTAAACTCTTCGCCAAAATATCAAATATTGAAACAACGAAAATTGCGCGTTTTTCGAAAACCATTTCATTGAAAGTTATATTTACTCAAACAAACCAAATTCAATTAGGTCTAAATTGGTTGCTTTATGGAGTATAATTAGAGATTAATTATACTGGCACCCCCGACTGCCAGGAGTATAATAACTCATGTCCAGTCCTTTAATTAATTAATATGAAAGACACTAATTGCAACTAAAACTAGGATGAAGTAGGTATTTGATCGAGCGAAAGAGAACGGCAGGATATCACTTAATTGCTCAATTTTAGAATTATCCATTCAAAACCATTTTGAAAAGACCAGTGTAAAATTACTAAAATTTTAAATGAGTGTTACGATGTATATTAAAATATTTTTTTACTAATTTCTTTTACAGTGCATGAAAATATAAATTTTAATTATGTAGATACTTTATTAAACATGTTTGTATTTAAAAAAATGGCGAAGGTAAATAATCCACCAAAATTTATAAATAGGGACCTCCTTGCAAAAAGCTCTTATAATCCCGATGATTATGTAGAACATTAGTAGGCAATATCTAGGTAAACCGAATCCAATTCTTTTCTAAATTACACACGCGGTGTACTCTCAATAGAAATTTATTGCGACACTTCGGACTCCACCGCTCAATAATTCTCCGTTGGTGTTGTGTCGATTTTGTAGCCCGGCGTCTCCTGACAATAGAGCACAAGCCGAGGTGTCGCTCTAACCGCGTATTAATGGTTAGGGCTTTATTAAATTAAGCGGTGTTGGAATACAAGAAGAAACCGGAGAAGGTGCCTCGAATTTCGGGTTTACGGGCGGCTAGAGCGCGGATATTTCCAGATAAATAACATTAACGATGTATCACACGAGAGCGAAACCGCACGCGAATTTTAATGAGACGAACGAGATAACGGAAGAGAATACTTTTATGCGTACGCTAACTCGCGGAAATGGGTTAAAAATTGCGCACGTATTTCAAGTAAATAACATTAATTAAAACTTTCTACGTAGGTAGGTTCTACTAACAGTTTCAAATTGAATTTGCGAGTTTTGTACTGACGAATGAGTGATTTTTTTACGTATTGTGTGTTACAATTGGATAAAGTTTATTAATAAATTTTCGAAATTAATCCGGCGTGTTCGATACTAAAACCGCGGAAGGAAGAAACTTCCTTATCGGAGATCGGCGCAAGAGGACAAACCCCTCGTTAACCATATCTCGAAGATTCCATGAATAAATTAGCGGCTTCCCTTCTTCCGACAACGTGTCGGTGTATATAGCTTTATTAAAGGCAAATAAATCATTAGCAGCCTAATTCGGTGTTTGGGAGAAAATCACACGACGCGTTCGGTTTTTCTTAGCAGCCGGCGAAGTTAATTCTATATCGAGAAACCCCAGGGAGAGGCATTCCTCGGTAATTACCTAATAGGAATTCGGGGAGTTTATGGGGGAAATAACTGAAATAATTGCGACGACGATGTTTATAAGGCGACAATTAAATTATTGTTCGAATGATCAGCCCCAGGTTTTCGTCGAATTTGGATATGTTTTACTGCTTGCGCGCGACGAATGTAATTTCCACGTAGACATTTCTTAATTTCATGCTCTAATTAAGTTACCTATATTCGATGTTTTAGGGATACTCATTAACCGGGATATCAGCGAATGTTACATCGATATGGTTTCGAAACCAGTTTTATTATCTCTATTCGCTTTGATGTTGCCACGAAAATTCGGAAATTTTAATGAACTTTGAATAAACGTTTACCCGAAAATATGATTTATTTTATACCGTGCTGGTTAGTATGCAAATGAAATTCATCCTTTTTCATTCGAACGAATAAATTCAGCGTTACGTCTGCATTCGGAGAATTTAGACAGGATGTTTTCTTTTATTATCTACTGAGACGTTTCGCCAAGTTCGATTTTATGCAGATTTAAACGTGAAAATTAACCGCAAAATTAGAATAGCAGTTGGTGCAAATTATTTCATAAAGCAGCGTTTATTTGTGGCATTTTTTTGTAAATAGGTAACTGAAAAACCGTCAGGGGTTATTTTATGATAATTTAATTAAAACCATATACTTTCATTGTATGACATTAACCATTTAATTCGGTGGTGGATATGTGCTTGTCAATTTCGATGGTCCTTTATTTCACAAATATTCATAATCGAGTTATGAATTGGATTAGAGAGCGGCGTTTCATTATGCCTCATTTTATAATCTACTTATTTTTGACACTCGGTGATTCTCGTGAAAATTGCAATTAAATTATTAGTGCTGAATTCGCCACCGCAACCAAACCGTTTTTGTAATGAAATTTTATTTAAATTCAACTAAAATTGCTATGATGAATTTGATTATACTGGCTCATAACAGGATTGATTTTAACAATTTTGTAGGTAGTGATTTTATTATTAAATCCAATAAAACGTATTTTTTGAATGGATATTTCAGGTATCGAAATCAGCACCTTGTGAATTAGTAAATATTTTGTCAGCATCTTAGAGTTATAAATCAAGAAAAAAATCAACTCGATTTTTTCTTCAGTGAATGTCGTATAAAGAAGCTTCAATACGCCAAATTTGCCTTCTTTTTTAAATTCGGCCCGTGCGGCCTCGTCTTGCTGATAAATTATTTTTAGCGGAATCCGAAATGAAATTCGATGCGATTTCGAAGGTCTACAGCCCTCCTTTTCAATTTTCATACCGCCGACGGTGATTATCTTTAATTCACAGCTTTTTCTCCATCTTTTCCCGAATCCAGCGAGGGTTATTTAGTGTGTGAACGAAGTCAACATCGACCTGTGATCCAAACCAGAGCCGCCGACAGAAGGATTACGCAGATACATGAAGCTCTTCGTTCCTTCTCAATTAGAAGATAGCGCAAAATAATCTGGATGAAATTTTTTAGGTCAATTTCGAGTCGGATTCGTATGTGCCAACTGGCAAACTCTAAACGATCCTGGTAGTCTGGATAAGTCCCAGGTGACTCGTTTTGAAGTCGGCGAATTTCTTGGGGACGTTCGTCGTATGAATGCGAAGCACGTATAAAATTTTCAAATAATTTACTTTCCACCTCCATTGCGCTCCATTTTGCTCGTTGGATTTATTTTTTAGCGTCGCATCTGTTGATTGAAAAAATAAAAGGGATACCCGACACCTCTACGCGGGAAAAATATCGATGTGTTTTACGAAAATTGCTTGTTCACTGAAATAAGAGGATTTGATTGAAGTTGGAATTATCTCAAGTTCTTTACCTAGCTATCAATTGTATTAGTTTTAATAACTGTCATGCCTTTTCGTTTCAAAGTGACTATATACCCACACCTTTTAAATAAATTGGTTTGTTGTTTAGAGGAACCTTTATATAAAATATATTTTTATTGAACAATATTTAAGAGGTTTTTATTTCGCCTATTCCCTTTTGGTTTTATTTTTAGGATATCTCGCGAATCGAAAGGTGCCATGTTGGAGCCCTCCATTGCTACTCTGTTCTCTGAACAAGCAATAAATATTTATGACTTAAATGAGAATATTATCAATACATTTATGAGATTTCGGGAGTGATAATTGAAATTCATTCACGAAAGGTAACTCGGCTGACCTCCAAGGCAAATCGATGGAAAATGAGCCATAAAATTGTAGGTCGTTTTCAAAATTTTAAATTGATTCCACACAGCCGTTATTAGATTATCTACGATATTTTAAAATGATACAATTTATTGGATTATGTTTAAAAATTTGAAACAGCAAAATTGGTAGCTGTTATAGTTGATATAAATTTGTAGTGAAATTAATTTGTTCAATAAATTTTCTTGATATTTGATATTTGATCAGAAATTTGCATAATTTTTCATAATAGTAATAAAATAGGTAGTACCTAGAATATTTAAAATAATTTAAAACAGCGCCAAAGATTCAAAAAAAATTATAAACTTACGCCAACTTTAATCGCACTCATCGTCGCACCACGCGAAGACGTCCCAACACCGAACAGCTCAGACCATCTCCAGTGCGTCGGAGTCGAGCGAAAGCCCGCGCAAAAACTCGGAAAAGTCCATGGCACAGTCGAAAGAGTTCCTCAAACCGTCGTTCCTGCCGTCGATGCGTACATGATTGGCCAGAGCAGCGGTTGAAGCGTACAGTCGAACAACAAGTGAATAGCGGCGACGCTCGCTCCTCGGGGGCAACGGCGACGAGGAAGACGCCGGCGTCGCGCCGCGACGCACCAATGGAGGATTCGCTTTTGCCAGAGTGTGCGTGTGCTTGTTGAAAATTTCGAGGATTATTTACTAAAATAGTTCGTTGGGGATTCGATATGTCGATTGATACATTCTGATTTGATGGTTTTTCTACACGAATCAACTCCTCTACAGATGACTAAAGGATAGACTTTTAACAGTAGCCTTTTCCACTAGATGATTAGATTTTATTGCATAATCTTCATTTACATTTTTCCAATGATTTATATGGCCTTAACCTAAGAGCTAGTGAACTTTATAATCAATTAGGATATAACATCCTTTCAGGGTAATTTATTTTAGGTTACACTTTGTACCACCCAGTTCTTAGGCTAAAAAGTTGGGTGTCCTTAGCAGCGAATTATTGATAAATGGGAACCATAGCTCAACATAACATGGCCCTTGTCACAAAATACAGGTGTATCAACAATTTTCTGATTGTGATATAAAAAAAAAGATGGGTAAAGACGGTAAAGTCCAAGCGATCGTTTTCATCTAACAAAAGCTCCAGATTTTTAACGAAACTCCCCATTGTGACTTAGTTTTCGACTCGAACAATAGCGGAAAGCGAGCAAGTTCGAGATTGCTGTGTACAGTCGATGTTTGGTTGGTACGCCGGTGTCAAAGGGACTAAACTAAATGCGTCCAGGGCGGCGCTAGGGCCCTCCTCGGCCGTGTTCCACCGCTAATTACTCTCCTTTGTGCCTCCGGGTCACCGGCTATTCAGTGGAAAAACGGAATCCATTCCGTATTTTTACCTCTGAAAACGATCTATTAAAGTTTGAGTAGAACGATGAGGCCGCACGAGTGCATGTATGCATGCACTTGGCCTTTGTGCCTAATGGATTTTTTACTAGTCGCTGAAAAACATCGAGAAATATGAATTGCTTGGGAGTCGCGACAGGCGGGGTATTTTTATCTCGGGAACTCGTTGAAAATATTTTATGCCTTATTGTTCAAGCTGCGCATCGTCTTTTAATAGATATTTTTACCTACCATCAGATTGATGGTGGCTCGTAATTTCTCGTCGAGAAGCTGCGGTGGATTATACAAGTTTTTCTGGATTCGGGCGACAAATAAAACGATGAAAAGCAGAAAAAAGCCCGCGGTACCGAAATACAATCACACTTTCCGTTCGAGTCGTTGGACGTATCACGACGAGCCTGCGGGGCCCTTATAAAATCTTCCTCGCTTCGTGCCATCGCTTCCATCAAACGGGACGATTCAGCGTAAAGTGCGATTGAGGGATCCTTCCGCGCTCTTTTTATCGAAAATATTTTACTTCTTAGACCGATGGAAAAACTTGGACGATAAAATAAAAACGGGACTTGGTTTTTCTACCACTGTTATTGAGATGTACGTATACGACTGGATTTTTGTACGCTCTATTCGGAGGGAATATCCCTTTTACTTCCGAAGTGTTATCGGTTTATTTCGCAATAAATTCGCTTTGTGTTGACAAAATTTCAATAACCGCTTTAATAAAATGTTGGATTTTATTTCCTCTAAACTTTAGAGCATTCTAATACAATTGTATATTGTTCAACAAGTGCAGAAAGTAGCACTTTTCCCACGAGCGCGCACAAATTTACTCAAGCGAGTATTCTAGAATTAAGCTGATATAATGGCGTAAACCAACAAAGTGAGCCAATTTTATAGATAAAATCCAGTAGAAAACTAGAAATGTAAAATATCCTACCGTACACAATAGAATGAATTACGTATATACTACTCCTATCTTGATCTATTTATATTTCACCTATAATCACAGTACCGAAACAAATTCAGATAGGATCTTTTGTGGTGAACTTGGTGATTGTGATTTTTTTCGTGCGAGTTTTGCTGCAACTAAAATCAACGTATACATAAGCGTCTCTATTTTGCGACGAGGATGGTCTCTTTTATTTTATTCATGAATCAAAATAAAACTCAGCCCTCGCTACTTTATTCCTATCAAATAGAAATAGTAGAACGTATTTCAATATTTGATTTGTAGTTGGAGTAGATGGAGCTCTGTCAGAATTTCGGTGTTTTCCTTCTCTATACATATAGAGACAATAGAAATCGAATTAGATTTCCGCTGGTTGGAATTTTGATAAGTAATCCAGAGGATGTACGGCGTTTTATCGTTAAATCGTGGCGTTTCAGGCAAAATTTTAAGGGATTCATTTCGCCCAAAAATGAAAAACTGATAATAGTATTGATCGTATTTCGAAAATTTAACAAAGAAAAGATTCAGTCATGCTAAATTAAAAAGTAATATTTCACTGTACCTAATTTAATATCATTGTTTCAAGAATTTATATCCTTTCTGCGAATGATAGAAATAACTGTTTTTAGACTGAATAAAAAATGTAATATCCTTAATATTGCTAAAAATAAATGCGATTTCGAATCGCGTCTGCTCCGCTGTTGACCGAGTATTAAATTCGCGGAGCGAACTTCGTTGTAAAATACAAAAAGCGAGTAATATAGCCTTATTAATGCCGAGAAGCTAGCGAAAGTCAGCGTCCGTAAACGGTCTTCGTTTTTCCGCCGTTTCTTAGGGATGTAAATAAATCGGAGATTTTTAGAACAGAAATTCGATATCGCCATTCATTTTTAAACTTCAATATTAATGTTTTTCAGACAGAAGGCTGATGGATGAGAGAAAACTATGAGCGCACAGTGAGGTTTGGGGAGAGCTAATCGATTTTCATCGCCTAAAAAAATTGACCTTTTTTATTGTGTCTAGCCCATACAATTTTATATTTCTTAGGGAAAAATTAGAAACAAAAAAATAATTGTAATTAATTTTTTATTAAGTCTAGGAATGACAAATTGAAGATTAGACTTGTAGACTAATAATATCTGTATAATTATCGTTTAAAATTTTCAATTAGTATAGCGATTTTTTCGTTTCTATTATTCAGGAAAAAGCTAAAATCTACCCTAATTTACGCCGCAGCGCCTGCGATGCGAAGCGACCGGAGGAAAAGCGACCCAAAAAAAATACGAAATGATATTTGAGAGCGAGATCACGTCTCGCAGGACGAATAGGCAAGAGTTTGCCGAATTCTTGATGTTTTTTTGGAGTTGAGCCGTCGAGAGATTAATTGAATACGACATGTCGAAAGTAATGAAGATTTATAGAGAAATATTTGATTTGAGGAATATTAGGCGCTTATCCCGAAAACGTATCAAAACTTACTAATCGATCTGAAAGCACTGCATACCAAATCGATATTGTAAATAAATAATTTCTTTTTTAGTATCTATTAGAATATTAAAAATAGCATGTGATAGATGTACTACTGTGAGAAAAAAGTACCAAAAAATTTGGAATAAAACACAAAATTCCTAATCTTCATTAATATTTCTTGAGTGTTCTTCAAAATATGCTCCTTTTGAAGCGATACACATGGTCAGGCTCCTTTTCCAATCATCGAAGCAATTGTATAGGCCCTTTTTGGCACGGCTTTTAGCTCCTACTAATTTTCTTTGATGGCATTTATAGAGTCAAAACAGGATCACCGAAGTGGCAATTTGAGCTTGGGAAACAAAAAAAATGTCGCACGAGAATAAACCGGCTAGTCTATGATACTTCAAACGAATCAACGTATCTGCAGCGACCAGTTGACTTTATAGTTTTTGAAGAAAGTCAGCTCTATCGAAACGAGCCCATCCTCAATTCGCAGCATGTCTGATTGGTTGAGCAAAATCAAACGAGTGTTTAAAGGAGCTGTTGTGGTCACGTGCTACTTCTCTAATACTGGCTTGATGATTTTTGAACCCAATTTCCTTAATTTTCTCGCGGTTACCATTGGTTAAAGAGGTCCAAGACCGTCCGGAACGAGGCTTTAGCGTCTTTAGCGATCTCTCGACTCTCTTTAAAGGTTTTATACCATTCGTAAATATGGATTTTCGATAAAACAGATTCATCTTAAGCATTTCCATCGATTCGAACCACGAAATTCCGTTCAAACCCAAAATATGAGACAAACTCTTTGTTCATTTTTGTCCATTGCAAAATTCTCAGAGCACTACTGTTATGAACCGATTCAATCAGCTGCTACAACCAAACTGACAACAAAAACTTGAAATAGTTAAAAATATTAAGTGCATGCAATTTAAATCAGAACTATTCTTTAATTTAAATTAAAGTACCTACATTTTTACAAAAATTCAATTTTTATTTAAAATACAGATACATATGTAAAATAAGTCAATTTTGAAGTCGTTTTATCCTGCTAGTGGATTAGCATGTATTGTTACACCATTTATTCTAACATCGGTAAGTGGTTTATAACTCTTGGGGTTAACTTGCAGTTTTTCCAGTTCATCTAAAGTGTCTAGACCGTCTATGACCCTAAAAAAATATTTATATGCAAATGAAAGTTGAATTAATAAGGTAGCAAGAAAACTTACTTTCCAAAAGTTGTGTATTTTAAATCTAGATGCGGTTGAGGAGCATACGTTATGAAAAATTGACTGCCGTTTGTATTAGGTCCGTTACTAGCCATAGAAACATTCCCCCGGGCATTGTGCTATAAATAACAGCAGTTTATTGAGTTTTTGCAGAAGAGTTTTTGCATGTTGTTAAATAATCATGCTTGAAATTTCAACTTACTTTTATTTGTTCTTTGAATTCGTCTTCAAACTTTTTCCCCCATATCGATATACCGCCTTTTCCAGTTCCCGTGGGATCGCCTGTCTGTACGATAAAACCTTTAATACTCCTGTGGAAAAGACAACCATTGTAGTAATCGCTAGCACAAAGAGCTAGAAAGTTTTCACAAGCCTTCGGGCACGATTCACAAAATAATTCTATCTTCATATTACCCAAATCGGTATGTATAGTCACAGACTAAAAGAGAAATAAATTAGAATAAAAGTGTGTTAATATTTTAATATGTCTACTTACCATTGTTATTAATATTAATATTAGATTTGTTTAAACGAATTCCTCAAACAAAACAAAAATAAATTGGGTTATGTGTTGTTACTGTTACGTCAAATATGTCATATCTCTCTTTTCTGTCATTAGACTGTAACTAGCCTTTTACTATAAAAGAAACCATTTATATTAGAAAAATATTCCTTTCCTCTAGGAAATATTATAATAAATTATAACAACGTTTTAAAATAAAATTAATTTTTAAACTTAAATACATATTTGGAGGCAATTTTTCGAGTGAATATTCGTTAGATCTAAACTGTTGAAGCTATTCGGATAACTTTTTAATACTATTTGAATGACGTTTATGACATATGACAGAAAAATTACCTATAGTCATAGTTACTTTTTTTGCTGAAAGTTGGAAATGGAACAGAAACAAATTACAAATTCAGCAAACAGGTTAAAATTGAAAGGAAAGTAGTTTTAAATTTTGATTAATATTTGTTCGTGATACGGATGGTTAATTTAAGATGCACCAATATTGGCGTAATTTTCACGTGCATTTTTTTTAAGAACATAAGAAAATTTCGAAAATTTCCTTGAATATTGCAAAATGGCAAGAAAACGTCCTCTAACACGCACACCACAGAAATCGGTTATTTCGGCTAAAACCATAAAAATATCACCCAAGGGTAAGCCAAGTGAAAATGGTTTATGTGGTCCGTCTAAATCCCTAATGGTTATATCTAAAACATTTGTAAATACAAATGAATCAAATAATGGTAAATACCAAATAGTTCACATTCAAACTTGATAAATTATTCTTGCTTTATTTTTGCAGATTTATCGAGTAATTCCGAGAGGAAACAGAACTGCAATACTTCTTTAACTAACAATAACAATGGTTCTTTTCTAGTATTAAACTCTTCTGTTAATGGTAATTAAATCATTTTAATTTTAATATAAACTGAATTGGTTGACACAGCTATGTCTAATTTATTTTACTTACTCACAAATTGTAAAACATTCTAGATGACGCTTTAATATTGTACTTAACAAATGTTTGAAATTTTAAAAGCATTAATAAAATGTATGCTTGCTTTTCAGATTTGAATGATGACCCTCTAGATTATGAACTTGAATTTGTGGAGAATGGTCAAAATAATAATGGCATCGCAAGTCTCAATAATTCTAATATAAACGAGAGTTGCTCTATAAGGTAACGATATCGCTTTTGGTACGCAAATGATTTTGTACATAATTACATAATTTGTTATTTTAGAAGTGCAAATATTACATCAACTCTTGAAGACGAAGAAGAAGAAAACTTTTCCAATGTTTCCCACGAAAGGTGTTTATAATTTTTTTTATTTATTTGTTGGTAATTTTATTCATACTTTTATTTCAGACATTTCTTTAGGTATTCTTCGGATGTTGTCGATGAAAGCCCTTTGAATTTACCCATTCATTTTCCCACATCTCAGTCCAAAGTTTTGCTGGATAGTCCCAGGTCTAGTTCTAGTGATTGCAGTAATACTTATAATTATCTTGTTGATGAAGGTAGCTATTAATTGTACATGTAATATTCAAGGTATTAATTTGTAAAATCTATTGTAGAAAACGACAGTTTTGACGATTGTAGCATTACCGCAGAAGAAGAAGAAAGACTTCTTCAATCTGATAATGAATCCTCTCCTATTCTTGATGTACCATGTGATGATTTAGAAAAACCAGATAATTGTGAAAATTACAACGATGCTCCTCCAGTTTCTATCTTCAGAAACAGCAAAGTTACCATGAAAGGGAACCAGATAATAATAAAAGCAGTTACTGCATTTAAACCAGAGACTCCTGCTGGTAAATCAAAGTGTTGGGACATGCGTTACCATCCTTATAGTGATTGTGATTTTGAAGAATTCAACCCATCATTCAATAGTAGAAGCATTTGTTTAAATGATATAGGATATGATCCTTTGATATCAGATGAAGAAGAGAAAACTTCCATAATTCCTCCAAAATCATCAAGTTCTACTACTAATGTTAAAGTCACATTGGATGCTAATCAGGAAAGGAAATTGTAAGTAATTCAACAATGAGTCCGAGGAACTTGTTGAAATATATTTAAACCGCTCTTTATTTTACTTTTTAGCTGTAAAACTGATTTTAAAATACCGAAATTACCTCCCATCAAAAGGCCTCCGACCAGACCTAAAAAAACAATATTCACCAAAACGGAACCTGATAGTCCCTTATCTACTTTTCCCAATCATATCTCTAAAGATGTAGATGTTATTTCTATTGCAGCGTAAGTAAACTTATTTTTTTACATTCAATGCACTGATCAACAAGCATGGGAAAGTCTAGGAAGGTTTTGAGCGAAATACCACACAAAATCCAAACTGATTAGTTCTATATTGATCATGGAAAGTTTTTATTTGTTTTTTTAGTTCTTCGGTGATGTCTGATCAAATGGAGCTGGATAAACAGAATTCTGAATTAAACAAATCATCTGAAGACCTCTTTAATCCAGATCAACTGAACTCCGACCCATTTTATGTTGAGAATTGGTTAACTCAAGTTAACAATGCACCGCCGTTTTTTTCTACAACCATTTCAACACCTCCGTCGGTTATAAAAGTTGAAGGAGACGAAGAAAGTACTCGATTAACTCCGCGTAAATATATTACATTAAATTTATTATGCATTGTTAAATCGGTATCTTGATATCGATCTAAAATTGTTATCTTTTTCAGCTCGCGTTGATTTCAAGAAAATTCCGAGGTTTTTTAACGGTTTGTGCTACTATTTTTTTATTAGAGAAAAATGTAATTTTCGCTCCTGCATACATTCGCATACTTTGCAACAAGCAGCGTTTTTATTAAAGTGTCAATCATTGAATCAAGTCGAATTGGAAGAAAGTTATAATTTTGCATCAAGATTTCGTAAGTTTCGTTTAATATTCGTACCTAATCGACAATTATTGAACACAAGATCTTGTTTAATTCAATTATGTGGGATGGGATTATTATTTTATATTAAATACAGCTTTTTTTTGTAGCTGTACTATTTCGAGAAACGCACCCGATTTTTATAAACGTCTTTGGAATGCACAAGATGCAGAGCAAACTCATTGCTATTATTGGTGACATTTTCGCATTGAACAACACAGTCATAATAAATAAAGCAATCGAATTGATAGTGGACGCACTTCGTCAAATAGGTTTAACGTTATTGGAAGCCGTAGAAAAAATTTCGTTCAACATCGGTTTCTTGCGATATCCAACCTTAGGTAAGTTCCAAAAATAACGATCAATCCATTCTCAAATTTCGATTTTTCCAGCTGATATCTTAATTGAAATCCTATCTAAAGAACCGAATCTATCAGAAACTTGGGAGGAAATTAAACGGATATGCAAGGCCAAGAATTTCATCGCCCCGCATACTTTAGAGACGATATTGAGACGGGTTATACGAGAACCCAACGACTCCAACCGCAATCTCTGCAAAGACGTCTACAATACTATAATCAAAAACAAAATGACTGATGTATCTAAGATCAAGACCGAGTACATACTCTCGCTGAAAACGCTCGTTGAATTTGGAAATAAACCGGCTAATTGTTTAAATACAAGCATCGATGCGAATACCGCGATCGACAGGGATGTATTTGAAGCGAGTGACCACCTCGCCAATCAAATTCAAACCGATAGTTCTAGTGACATCGATGATCGGTATCCTACGTTTCGTTCGCGGTATTCAGAAATGAAATCTGAAGACCCATCACCGACTGAACGGTCGCCTTGTTCTTCTAGCAGTTCTTCCAGAAGTTCTTCTAGCAGTTCTTCACGCAGTTCTTCTAGAAGTTCTTCGGAGAGTTTCAGACATACTGCAAACAATCGATCTGACTCTAATACTCGCAAACACGAATCTCTGTCATTAAGGAGCGGCTCCCCTTACGTACCGCAAACATTAAATAGACCGAACAGGTGAATATGGAAAAAAAAACTCTTTTATTGGTTAGTACGATTGGTATGTTTCAGGAAAAGTCCTTCGACAACTTCTTTGGATACCATTAATTCTGCTACAACAATTACCAGTAGTGCTTCTAAATCGGTAGTTTTTCACAGAACTGTATTATTGCCTTCTGTTAGTTCTGCACCCGTGCCTCAAATAACTGCAGCGACTAATTCGATGAAATCAATTCTGTTTCCTGAGAGGCCCATCTTTGGAAAATTCAACTACAAGTCGGATTTCGTTTTCGAGAAATCTTTGCATAATCTGCTACCTTGTCCAAAAGAACAGGTAAATAAGGCTGCGATTATCGCATTTCCGATACTCCGCTCTATTTAAATTTCGCAGGTAGTTCTCAATGAACCTGATATAATCAAGTTAAACGATGTCATCAAAAATGCAGATGGTAACGAATTTCTGCAATTATTCGAACAATACAAGGGTCCCAATACTTTGCAACAATTCATTACAATGTCCATTGCTCATTTGAAGAACACTCACCAGACTCCGTCTAATTCTTTGATGGATCTTGTGGAAAATTTAGGTTCGTACAATATCCAGATTATAGCGAATTTCATTATTTTTGACGTGCGCATTTTAGAAGCATCGAATCCTCAATTCAAACATGACCCTATTCTAAAAGGCGTTTTGGAAGTAATCGTCTTCAATTTGCTAATATTTGTCGAAAGGAAATGTCTTTGGGCCGATGGCAGGAAACTTATCGAAATGTTTTGTGATTGGGATAGCTTGATTTCATCTAAGGTTCGTATAGCGGGATAAATTGATACGAGATGGAACTCAGTTAATGAATAATTTATTGCAGCAATTCACTACGAACCAAATGACGCCGATCGGTAGATTTATATTTTTGGCTAAGCTATTGGCTGAAGCGAAGGCTTTTTACAAAGTTTACGACATTCTGCGCTCGCCTGGTGAGTGCTAATGAAATTTGCCTGTCGTATACAGGATGTCCCGAAAATATGTTGTTTAACTCCACTTAATACAAAATTACATTCCTGAGTTATAGTCCTTCAAAGTGGAGTTACAAATTTAAAGAAGTTAATATCTGAGTAATACTCAAACTTAAAACCACTAAATTTGGTATTAGTTATTAGTAGAGTTTGGAAAATATGCACTAAAAAATTACAAAATATGCATGCAAACATGCACTAAAAACCTTCAAAATATGCATTTACAGTATACCAAAAAAGTATTCGTACACTCGTATTATAATCATTATACGTGTAATTACCCGTTTAATAAATATACAAATGAAAAAACAATTAACAGGCAGATTTGGCTCCATCCGATCCAAAAATGTTATACTTACTCTCATCTGACAATATAACCTGGTTCCAGAACTCTAAACGTTTATTAATGTAACGCTTAGCAAACTCCACTCTTAGCTTTCGATTTTTCTTATTTATCCTTGGCTTTTAGCAGGTCTTCTTCCTCTATATTCTAATCGCTTAATGTGGTATCGAAGAGTTTCCGGATGGATCTTATGCCATGTACTGGATTTCAGTTCAGAAACGATGTATGGAGCACTTACAAAGGGAATTTTTTTAACTTTTTGATAAATGAAATTCTGATCTCGTTGAGTTAACTTGGCAGTACCTCCCGATCTTGACTTATTTTCCACGGAACCAGTAGATTTATATTTTTTCACAATGTACTGAACTGTAATATGTGTTTTTTGAACAATTTTACCTATCTCCTTATATTATTTTCCTTCTATAAAATGATGGATGATGACTTTTTTAAGTCACCATCTATTTCTTCAGTTTTTCTAGGCATTTTAAGGTAAACTTGAATTATTTTGAAATCAGAACTAGGAGCTCAACCTAATACTAATATACCGGCGAAAACAATAAACAATTTAATATCTACAGAGTGAAGAAATTGATAAAACGTTGCTGTACGAATACTTATTTTGGGGATAAAGCAAACATTTTTCGTTTTTTTTTATTTTACATTTTTAATAACAATGTTAATTAATGATTGCAAGAATAGTCTTGAAATGTAGATTTTAATTTGCTAGTTACTTCTTGTTTCTGTTTACTGAACGCGGACTTCCAGAACATAATGCAACTGTACGAATACTTTTTTGGTCTACTGTATATATGCGATTATGCTCGATGAAAAAATCAGAAACAACCAGATATATAATGTTTTTGTATAATGGGATAGAATCGTTTAGAACTGCCTAGAATCGTTTAGAACTGTCTAGATTCATTTATAGAGCTCCAGAATCATTTAGAACTAATTAGAACGCACCAGAATCAATTAGAATTGTTTGGAATTATTTAGAACTTTCCCAGAACCATTTAGAACGGTCTAGAATCATTTATAACGCTTCAGAATAATTTAGAACTGTCTAAAATCATTTTGAACTCTCCAGAATCATTTTGAACGCTTCAGAAGTGTCTAGAACCATTTAAATTGCGAAATATATTGAAAAATGCAAATTGTATTTTGCATATGCATTTTGAATTTTTGCATGTTTTCCAGGCTCTAGTTATGGGTTATCAGTATAGTAAGAGCATAAATCGATAGCATAGTTAGGAAAGATGAATTGATTTATTTTAAAGGGTTAATAATGATGATGCTCCCTTAAAATGTTACACAATTTTTTTTACCTGATGGAAGATTAAAAAAATTTTAGTTCATTAAAATTCTTTATCGTTTGTTGAAAAACGATAATAAATCGATAATAATTCAAAAGTTGGCTTAAACAACATATTTTAGGTTCCCCTACATGCCCATGCTCTGTGTCGGTTCTTGTGCGGGACACCCTGTATAAGTGAATTTATTATTATTTTTTTGTAGATTTGCGTTTATTGGAATCCTCGAGCTATTGGCCATTATTCCACTGCGGTAAAGCGGATTTGGAAAGTCGAAATCTTCTCTTGGTTTATTTTTTTAGAAATGCATACTACATCAACGTGGAAGTTGTGTGCGATATGTACAAAAACATATTTCAATTTAACGATATTTGGCAATTCGGTAAGATTATTGTTCGTTGTTTAAACGGATACACCGAAACATTTTCTTTTTTAGATTCTCTTTGTTTTTTCAATCCCATGTTAGAAGATATGATAGATAAGGGTAATTGTTCGTCTCTGAAGCATTTCCTATCAGATATAGAGGTTTTTTACAAGAAAATGGACAGGAACATTTTTAGAGCTTTCATAATACTGATGCATAAATTCATTACTAATAAAAATAAAATCAATATTTACGTGATGGCTGTGCAAAAAAGATTATACCCTTTCTATACGGTAAGAATGTTTAAATGGGTATTTTTACCTCGCGTTTTTTATTCATTAATTTTGGTCATTGCAGGGCCAAGAAACTTCCATTATTGTTAGAACTAACATGCCTGACGTCGAGTTAAAATTTATTTTGCTCTTTTACTTGCACAAATATTCATGTCTTCCAAAACCTTTACACCATGATCTTCGAATTGAGATAAAATTGCCTACAGAATTCATGAAGACGCCAAGGATATTGCGCGAGTGCGCGCGCAGCATCAAAGAGGTTAACGAATCTATAAAAAAAGTGTTTTTAGATATAACCGATATTCGTTTGGATCAATCAGACAGCAACACCGTTGTTTACATTTCTAAACAGAAACTTATGAATGTAAACGTATTGTACTGAAGATTTTTTTTCTGGTTATTCAGTTATGTTTTTATTTTGTTTTTTTTACGTGATGTGATTAAAAACGTTTTGTTACAAGTTGCAAGCGAAACATGGGGGTTGGATTTGTTTCAGTATTTGAATGTTGATATTTCCAAAAAACAAGAATCTCGCGAATAATCTCTTATATAATATTTTTATTAGAATATTTTCCTTTTAATTTATATTAATTTCTTGTTGCTAATTCGTAAGTAGTATTGTTGAAATTGAAATTATATTTACTTATATTTTTGATAAATTTATGTAGAAGCATTCCCAACCTTAGAATGAACCAATGGAACAATCATTGTAATTTTTTAACATTTCATTGGATACCTTAATGCATTTTGTATACATTTTGTATCCAGAAATGAAACTTTGTTAAGCAAAAGATTAATGTTTCGTTACTTATTGTTACAATAATCCTAGAATATACCGGGTGTTCCATAAAGACATGCTAACATTTAAAGGGGCTAAACATTTCAGTCTTGGACCTATTTTAAGAAAATAATTTCATATGAACATATTTTTAAAAAAATATTTCAACACAGCGGCTAATGTAGAGGCAGCGTACATATAAATGCATTTAATTTCAAAAAGAGAGTTCAAAAAGAGAACGAGTTCAAAAAAGAACTCCAAAAATAATTTTGATTTAAGATTAGACAGAGGCGACTATTTTTTTCTCCAAAAACATTCAATGAAAAACCCGTACGAACGCCACTGCTGAAAATAATGAAATTGTTTGAATAACAGAAAATGCATCTTTATTCATAGAAGACGTGTGCAAATGTCATAAAAAATCTACAATAGTGTCACAGTTATTGTAAAGAGATATTTTTTTTCTAAAAATTTACCACCCTGTATCTGAAAGGTAAAGACGTTTAGGACATAGGTTCATGCGATTTTTTTTTAAATTGGGTTCAACAATCACCCCCTTAATTATTATAATGTATTGGAACACCCTGTATTATAAGTAAGTTTAGTAAGTCAAATTAAACCACCCTATCTATAATCACATCATTTAGAATGTAAGTTTTTATTACATAGTTAATTTTTGTTACTTAATATTAGTTTTAAAGAGATTTATTAAAAATACGACTTTAAAATTTTTATAAGATCGATTTATATCTCAAGTTTGATTTTTGTTACTATTTTGTTTTTTTTTTTGTGTTTGTCAATTTTAGGGTTATGACAATAGCTATATAGACGGTTTCCATTCATTCATCTTAATTTTCTCGATTAATCACGTTCAGTTCGATAGTAATAGCAAACCAATGGTTAACTTCGATTATTAGTAATCGACTCGGCACTAATAATTTGTATCACTGCGCATATTCTACAGCTATTTCTGTCGAACTGTACTCGTCGAACTATTACCTTATTATTATTGTTTCTAAAGGTATGTTCTTTTTATGAAGCCGCATTTCTGTGATGTTTATGCTCTGTTGCCGAGATGTACATCAAAAATGATGAGCGATTAATCTTCTGTAGGTTAGAATTATACGATGAATGATTAATGGTTTATTTGATGAGCGTTTGTGCGACTGGGCGATTAATTTGAAATGTTACTTTCAGTTTCCTAAAAATAATGACTAAATTGTTGAAGTTGTAGGTTTAATTTTTGTTTTTGTTTTTTAGCATTATCGAAGAAGCAATGTTTTAGTTTAAATGATGTTAGAAATGGTCTCGATTGTTTGGAGCCAAATCAAAGTATTCATATTTTTATAAAATTTGGACAGCGTTTGTTTAGTAATTTTAGGTACATTATATTAATGTTTCAGTTAACGATACAAGTTTTATATATATTTTTATAAAACGTGCCCCGTTGATTCATTTACCTATACCAAAGCATTCTAATTTATTGTTTGCTTAAATTTTTCCACAATTGATGGGATGAGAATAGTTTAACTAGTAGATGTTTCGTGTTTGATTACACTTGACATAAAATCAAACGTACAACAATGTAAAATAAGAAACCCTTTTCAGAATTTTTCAAATTCAATTAGTTTTCCTGGCATTTGAAAAGATAACAGTAGGGTTTTACATATAGCCATTATGTACTCGTAAAGTATCCCGGTGTACTGGAAATAGTGAAATACTTTATTTCATCTTACCCGCCCTTTAAAAAATGAGCAAGTTATTCACAAATATCTGAAAAACGGAAACTTTTTTGCAAAATTTGCAAAATTGTTCTGTGATTTGACTTATGTCAGGCGACACCATAATTTTACAGTAATCTATCATTATTTACTACAATTCTTTAATTAGTTTTTTTTATTTAATACAGTTCGTCTGTGGATCAATATAAACTAGGAGACATCGTTCTGTAATAAGCATTCTTCGTCCTACTAAAATTATTCACACATTTGTTCGATAAAAGTCGAGTTTTACTAGAATTTTGTTTTTCCATTTAAACAGCACTGCAAATAAATGGCAGTTTTTAATTTCAATTTTCTTAAAAGTATAATAAAGTATGTGAGATTAAAAATAGGGTTCCTTGGGGTCTATAGCTATAAAAAAATTCAAATCAATTGATCAAGCCAAATTTAAATTTTACTAGAATTACTGAACTTGTTTTCCATTTAAAAATACCCTGAAGTGGCGCGCAATAGTAATCAATTTATTTTCTTATCGGGATAATGCAGCCTAATTATTCTATGAAAAATTACTGATGATATAATACAAGATGTAAATGTGGATACTTGAAATTTTATCTACCTAACAACTCGAAAGGTAAAATAGTTTTATTGCAACCATGTAAGTACGATATACATAGGTACGTACTTTTAATAGTAATTGATTAAAAATTCTTATCCTCTTAGGTTCAAAAATAGTACCCATTTTTTTGTCCTACTTTTTTTGGTAGGATTGCATTTATTACTAGTTAATGCTAAGCTAAATCTATGTTTAAAGAAAAAAATAGACCTTCCTATGCCACAAGGTAAGTATTCATTATATTTTACTCAAATATTATTAAAAAAGTCCGTCCTAATTTTTATATTTACCCTAAATTATTAAGTTTGACAGGTCTTTTTCTCCTTTATGGTTTCATTTATCATAAAAAAATCACTATCTGCCATCGAAAAAAAAAACGAGAGATGTACTGTAGATATTGATTTTTAGATAAGATAACTATTAAAAAATGTTTTAGGCGATGTATTACCGAAAAATTCAGCTGATCCAATTTTTATAAGCAATGTTTCATTAACATTTAACCATCCTGCAATCAGGTTAGTACATGACAAAGGGGTATCAAATAAATAATTTTTCTTTCAAAATTCAACGAATTAGAATATACAAGGCAGCTCATTTAAACAGTCCACCTGAAATATTTTCTTTTTTTGGGAATCCCAAGGTAGGTCGATTTCGATTTGAAGGATTATTAATTGACCTTAAATTCATGGATGTAGCTTCATCCCCCTGAGCGGGGTTGCAACCCCTTCAAAAAAACTAAGGTATTTTAATTCTCTTTTCAAACATATTGAAATTTTTGGTCTGTGTTAAAATTAATTTAAAACACTAGTTGGGGGTGTCGGAGAAATAAATTGAGAAGTTTCCATGCAGTAAAAGTCTTTATTTAACATGTTCCGAACATTTCGGATCATTTCAGGGGTTATTTCTTCACATGCTTGGACTGTTTTAAATGGGCCACCCAGTATTTGAAAGAATACGTTAACATTGTTTTGTTCTAGATTAAATGCAGAATTTAAAAACGTGAGTATTTGGAACACCTCTTATGTTGTCAATACATTTTTCCAGAATAATCAACTCGTAAATCTAACTTTTCCAAACATATCTTTAGTAGGAGATTACTATTCTATGAAAGGCAATATCGGTCAACTATTCGACATATTTGGTGAAGGAGATTTTTGGTACGAATGAAAGACGTGTAATTTTGTATTATAATTGTGTGATTTTTGAATGGTTTTCAGGTGCTACCTTACAAATTTTTCAGTATCTTTCAGTATTTTATCATTAAATCTCAATACTACCGACTTTTGTGTACCTGTAAGTTTAGATGTCGACTTACAAAAAGCCAATGTAAGTTTCTATTGTTCAAAATCAATTTTGTATATACAGGGTGTATATACATAACTTCTCAGGAATGTAACTTTGTATTAAGTTAAGCTGGGTTAAACAACATATTTTGGGCTCCTCTATACACACGCTTCTGCTCTGTGTCGGTTCTTATGCGGAACCCCTTGTATAGTATACCTACAGATAATTCCAATTTAATGATGTAGGTATATTTGTTTTCTTTCTTCTAGATACACTTTAATAATTTAATGGACGATCCGGAATTATGCGACCTTTTCAACGAAGGATTTTGCTCGTTAATGCCGGATATAGTAAAAGATGTATGGGAAGAAGCGAAAGAAGCCAATGATCCTTGGCTAGAAGCAGTAAGTCTCATATCAAATTACTTATTATTATTTAAGAAAGAGAAAGCTTAAAATACTTTAGTAATATTGTTTTTCTTTTATAGCGAATTAATTCAATTTTAAATTCGTTATTGGGAAGAGACGAAATTCTAACTAAACTGATCGAAAATTATCTGGAACAGAAACTTTTCGATTTAGAAAAGCTAGTGTGAAATATACAGTTTATATTTACCCCGCGTCGTTAATAAACGAACATCAAAAATTACCGAGCAGTGTTCTACATTCGTAGCATTCATATTTATCCGACTGATACGCGTTCGCTTCGTACAAAAGAATAATTACTTCCAACATGCATTAATTAATTACGCGTATAATCGCCTAATGAGAAAAAAAAAACCGAAAACAAAAAACAGATGATCGCCTCGAGCGGCGCAGACTCCCGCATCCGGTCCTCGCAAAAAGAACCACCGACGGCGGGCGATTCGCCGATGCCAGTCTGAACCGACGCTCGGCATCGCGCGCGCCTCCGCCGGCGTCGTTCTATCACTGGCCGCTCACGTCGCCGTCTCGGCGCTCATAACCTCCCGACGACGTCGGCATCCTGCACGGATTACCGATTGTTTATCGACGGTAATTGGCCGTGTTTCGTAAAACAGTCGGTGCGAGATTCGCGTTCGAACATGAAAATGTAGATACGATTGTAATTATTCGGTCCGCTAACCGGTCAAATTGAACTTTGGCATGTTTTTTGTTCCAGCGGCGAAGGTAAATATTTCAATAATTATACGATTGGATAGTATGTGTTTTTACGTAACGTTAGTTTATTGTAATATATTGCAGTAATGTCATTATTTAACTAAATCTGAATCATCAGCATCTCTCTAAATGTGAAATTATGCACGCGAATATTTACTTTATCTGCGACGCTTTTCCAATTAAAATTACAATAACAATTAACAGTCGCAGTAACATTGAAATAAAATTTGACTATTTTTAGAATGTATCGTTAATTTAATATAAAAAATACATGTATAATTCGTTGTGGAATAAACTTCTATACAGGTGTACAAAACTAGTCCATAAAATTAATAATATCTGTTCATGTAATTAATTACGTAGCGGTGTCAATGTCAATGGAGAAATTAATATTTAATTAACATAAATTCATTAGTTTTCTATAGTTATTTTTAGCCTAAAAATATTGCAATAATAAAATTAATCAAAATAAAGGTAGTCAATCATAATTTTAGCTTCGAGAAAAGTTCGAAGTGTCTACAAGAAATTTCCCTAATCAAAGCGAAGATACTTTTATTATTACAAATTTAGTTCATCTTTAAAAATTACAAAGAAATTCTCATCCGGAGCGAAATATTGAATAGATATTTGAAAAAGGGAAGATATTATAAACCTTTTGCTCCCCTTATCTCCGGGTGTGTTGTTCTTGCGAAAACAGCCCGGAAAATTTCTCCCTCCGTTTCTTTTTTGTTAAAAAATTTCCCGATCGCGAATATCTAGGATAAGTCAACAAGAGTCGAGTCTAAAGAAAAGCAGCGTGAGAAAAGGGCGCGCTGGGCCTCTCGAGATCATCTAGCCGAGGAAATTCCGTCGAGCTTTTCGCAAATTAAATTTTCTCTGAAAAAGAATCAAGAGCGCGGCGCAATTACAAATGGAAACAAGTTGTTAGGGAGCGGATACCCTTTCCGGATATCTCTCCGTCGAAATTATATCTCGAAATAATGGAATTAGGAAAATATCTTGTAACGCTCGTCGAAATATTTAGATTCTTTTATTTAAACACGAAGATATTGCGGAAATTCAAAGCCGCTTCGCGATTATCTAGCGCACTCGCTTTGATCTCTCTATTATATCGAAAATATATTTCTCTTTGACTGTCGGTATACAAATTGCTTTCTTGAATGCACGAATTTATTTATCTTGCTATTATCTACTCGAAAAATGTAAGTATCGCCTCTAAAACACGTCTCATAATTTTTAAAGTAATCGATTTCAAATAACCCGATTAGCTTAGGCGTATTCAAAATGAAAAATCGTATGGGTAATATCAAAGGTTTTCATACCTTTTGGAATACATAGATACGTATAATTAAGGATGCCATTTAGCCGGCTACGAAAACATCAAACTCCAAGCTAAAACAAACAATTTCCTCGGGAATGATGAAGCTCGAATATAAAAACGATAGCCTAACAAGCCGTAAGTGTTTATTTTTCGTCGTATGGAACGTTCGTTACGATTCCCAGCCGTGAATCTGATGATATAAGCCCAGTATCGACCGAGAATTAGGTCAGAAGGTCGATTTGTCTCTCTCACCGAAATTCTAAATCCGAAACTTCATGTGTTTCGGAGCATACAGTGTTATACTTTCTAACGACACGGCTATTTTTAATTTGAGTTTAATTGAATATGAAACTTTAACGTCTGCTGTAATTGTAATTAACTTATCGACTTACCTTGTCCTTAACTTTTCCAGCAAATTTCTATTATCATTAATTTCAATTGTTTGTTGTATATCAATGGGGCAAATTGAATTGATAATATCTACTAAACATGTTGTATTGTGCATAATGGAATACGGGCCATTTAATCATGAAATATACGATAACATTATAGGTAATACATGTTGTATGCATAGGATTAGCAAAAATTGTTAGGTACATATCGACAGAAGTCTGTCGACTGAAACAGTCTACTTCATATGCCTAAATCCAAAAATACATACAAAGTTTATTCCCAAAAGATATTTGAACAAGTCTCTTTGTTTCTATCATTAGATACTTATTGTAAAATATCTCCAACATCAAGTACATTTTCTATCTATTTTCAAGAAAATGGTGTGTTGCTTTTGTTAACTTGTTAAAACAACACCATACAAACCACCCCAAACAAGTATCGAAGTTTTACCACAGCAGATATTGTTTTATACATTATTGGGGAATCTTCAGGGTTTTGTTCGCTTGGCAGCCATCCGACTAAAATCCCCCGAATTAATTGCGTGAAACCATCTCGCCCGTTCTTTTTATTCAGATCGTCGAAACTCATTTTCCGAGTTTAGGGAAAAAGTCCTCCCGAGTCCGTACGTGTGCCGGCGAATTCGGAAATTGAAAAAGGGGTGCCTGTGAAATTTCCCGTGAAATTCGGCCGGTCGGAGAAGAAGCGCGCGGAAGATGGAAGCAGGACTAGCAGGAGGCTTCGCGAAAGTCCGCAGAAAGTTGAAGGACGGTTTGTAGGTCTTAGATCAATTATCGAAGGAGAACAACGAAACGAGGACTCGGCGAAAATTAATAGGGCTGATCTTGGGTTTTGTTAAATTGTATATTAAAAGGGGATATTTCGCTTGTTATATTAGATTCGGAATTTTTTATTACCACTATTAATGCGTTTCTCGTTTCTTTGTCATGTTATTACCCTATTTTTTTATTCTATTTGGTTCGTCAATATAGTGTTATTGATTATTCTGTTAATCGTTAAAGGTTGCACCATTTTCCAAAACAAATAATTATTAGAACCAGAAGCGTCTATACACCTGGTTGACATAGCATGAATAAAAAATGAATTTCCTATCGTAACTAGTATAATTTTCTGGATTCTTTTTTATGCATAGTAAGGTATTTTACCGTATCCAATAAAGACTATACATCGGAATTCAATTTGGATTGCCGTATATAAAATCGCCCCGCTTATCTTACCTACAGCCATTCCTAATTACCCATAAACGGGAGGCAAATAATCCGAAACTATAAAATTTACGATTTTTTTCGGAACTGGCATAAATTTTATAGCCACATTGGTTCGACGGATGCTTCGTTCGCAATTTCATTAATTTTCACGTTAAAGGCGAATTAAAATCGGCTTTTTAAGTTTATTGGAAATCTCCAATGAAAACCTAGTAAACTTTAAACGAAGAGTCTGGGTAGTTTCGGAGCCACTCCACTTAATTAATATTCAATAAATTGACACTACTTATGAATTTTTTTATTCTGGTAATTATGTATTTACTTACTTTGATCATACCTACTGGTACTGTTTACTTACTTTACTATTTACTTCTTCTTTCATATTTAACTCGATATTCCCAGTAATACACTGCAGTAGAAATAGCTGTAAACGCGAGATTACATACAATGCTCAATCAGCGCAATACTTATTTTTTAGGATACTTCTGTGGAAATATAGCCCTATTATATTCAAAAATAAAAAGTATATTTTTTACCACACGTCATTTTTATTTTCCTGCACCTTTCATATTATATTACAATCCAGCGCATTTTTTGTCCATAAACTTGAAACATGGTACAACTACCTACATTATAATTAACAATTTGACTATTCAACCGTTCGACCGGCAAACATATACATTATAACATGTTGTGTTGATGATTTATTATGTAATAAAAAAGTTGCATAACATACAACACTCAACACTGGCATGTCGGCGGTTCGCAGGAAACCTTGTTTTGAGGAACACATTTGCATAACTATACCCGACGATATTGTATTATGAATTTTTAAATCTTTAATCATTTCGTTTAAATAAAATAATATTATTCACACGGATTAACGTTTCAGTTGAGCTTTTTCGAATAAACTTCGACGAAACTCTTCACTCTAAAATACTCATTAATTCACCAACTAAATTATATGTCACCCCATTATACTAATCCTGATTAATTCTTAACCGAAACATTGACGCAAATTCAAAGACGGCAGTTTCGAAAATTAACTCACTTCTGATTGCAACCAATAATTTATACGGTTCGCATGGAATTTAGATCAATGTAGCTCTCTAATTGCAATCGAAGATGATTTCGAATAATCCCTACATCCATTTACTAACAATGCGATAATTCTATACCTACGTAGATGATAATTTAGTTCCAAATCTCCTTCCTTTGCATCAATTTTCCTTCCGTTTCACGGAAAGCTGTTTTCCGCATTGTGCAGGATGGCATGCAGGAAAGTACCTACGCTTAATTAGTATGCTTGACCATTTTACTTGTATTATTAATAATATGTTTGCACAGTTCGTGTTAGGTAAATAGTAAATAGTAAATATTCACCTAGATATGTGATAAGGTGGCTCACAAACCACTCAAATCTATTTTCTGAACACCTATTTAACCTTATATAATTAATTTAAAAGTCTACACATTTAGGGGTTCAAATCAGATCTTAGATAGTTTACAATAAGGAACA